ATTGCTATCATGGTTGTTGATAAGTGCTAAGTTAGCTTTATAAGTAGTTATTTTTTTATCTCATGTTTGTTTCTTTGGGTCGACTGTTTTTTTTTTTTGTTGAATTACACTTCCATTTTATGATTACTGTTGAATATTTATTGTATTAATATTCATATTTGAAGTGCTCTCTGAGGGTTGTGATACTCTTCTCTTTTCACAAAATACAGACCTGATGAAAGACTTAGCATGGACCCTGAAACATCTGAAAATTAAAAATAAAATGCAGGAGAAGTCCACAGGCTTAACACACTGCCTAAACTGACTTTAAGCAGGGATGAGAATTTCCCAGTTTTTTTTTTTTTTATGTAAACACTGGATTCTGAAAGTTTGCTTGACCAAAGGAAAGTTTTCTTAAATCAGATTTAGTTCTGCTCGATAGATTGGTACCTTGTTAGAACTAGCACTTGTGTTGTTGTGTTTCTTTTGAGAAAAATACTGCTAAAAGTCAGTAATGAATATCCACACATGTAACATGGAATTATTAAAGGTTTATTTTGAATTAATAGTTCTTATCTGGAAAAACACCAGACTGAACTGAAAGAATAATGTCCTTAAAAAGATTAAATGACCTGTTGTGGAAAGTTAGTGTTTTTCTACTGTTATTATTACATAAACACAATATAAAAGCAGGAATGTTAATTTTAATTCTGCATAAACATTTAAAGATTAAGCTTAAATACATTAGCTTTCCTTTTAAAATCAACCCATTTTCTACCTTCCTTTGAACTTCTCTCCAGACTATGGCACTGATTATGAACTCAGCTGTGCTTGCTGTTATCCTCCAGATTTTTCCTCCTCATTTCTGCTTAAAAGAAAACTTGTGAATTAGTTAAGATATTGTGTTATTTGGAAGATATTCTGTACCAATATTTAGATAAATTGTGTTGCTGCAGTAAGTATCTAGTGACAAAGTTGGTTTTGAAAGTCTTGTTTCTGACCAAATATGGTAACAGAGAATGAAACGTACTCAGTTCTTATCATCTGAATGGGGGCGAGTTGGCAGCTTGTGTACACAGTTTTTATTATATCGTAAGACACTACAGAATATTTGGTTATCCTGTATTAATGGTACACATTTTGTTAGACCACTAGATAATATATACACATAAACATCTTTCTTTTCATTTCATTGCTGAGTTTGCCTGACTTAGCAGATCCTAGATACTAAAATGAAAACCCAAGTACTGTTACAGGCATATGTTGCAAAACAAAAATGTAGTTACATATAAAACAATTATAAAATTTAACTTTTAAAACCTTCATTAATTGTATGTTTTGTTTCTGTTTTCAAACATAATTTACAAGATGTAAATAATTTTGAAAGACTAAGATTTCTCAACACCTTTTTTTATCCCATGCTTTTGGGAGTATTCTTAACTTTAGTTGCTTATGTGTCATTTGTGTGAAGGTGCATTGAAACTTATCTTAGTTCTGCAATAAAAATGTTAACTTAATAAGTTTTATTACAACTACTGTTTTAATTTATTGAGTTATGCAAAAACAAGCCAATATCCTCAAAGTTCCATATTCTATATGTACCAATAATATTACATATATATTCTTTTTTTTTTAAGTAGCAAATATTAAACCAAACACTTTTTAATGTATGTATTTTGTACAGGCAAAATGCATGTTTTTTATGTACAAAACTTTAGATTCATTTAATTTCTTATTTATTATATTGTATCTTCATAAACATTAGTTTTTGGCTTTCCTCTTGGTAATGTCCTGTTATTTGACTCTATACCTAAACAGTAATGTGTTGTAGTAAGTTATCTCAAATGCTATGCTATTTACTATTAAATTGCACTGTTGGTACTGTTTAATTGGTTTTCATTGGTCATGAGATGCTTTTAGGGAGGGCCATGGAAATTTCTTCTTGTATAATGATGTTACATTGTTCAATGAACATTAAATCTATGACAATACTTGAAGCCAACATTAAGATTTGTGTTTTGTGTAAGAAAGATACACTCTTTGGTTTCTTTATTGTTACTTTCATTGACAGTGTTGGTTGGCACGTTTAGTATATCTGCTTTTTTTATTTCTATTATTATAATTTTATTACAGAGAATGTTTTGCATTGTTAACTTAACATATATTTAGGACTATCTTCAGTCTCTTAAGCTAGCCAAACCTTGAGAGATATTATTGGGTTTATGGCTGAAAACATTGTTAACAGTGAGGGTACTTAACTGACAAAACAACACATTCTCATTCTAATCTTTATAAATGAGAGTGTAATAAAAGTATATTTAATTACTATATTCATTAGATGTTAGTTTTAGTTTCACATAGGTAATTTACTCCAATCAGAAGTTAATAATAAAAATAGGTGGTAAAGAAATGTATTTCCACAAGAATGAAATTTGATTGAAAGATCTTTGTTTTCCAGGAAAGGCCTTCTTATGCTAAAGTTTTTCTAGAATATCGTGATTTGACAAAAAAAGAACTGGAGTTTTTTGGAAATAAGTACAAGTAAGTTGTTTAATGTATCTCCTAGTTCTATGGAGTATGGAAAATAAATCTGAAATGTATTAAGTATTGTTTTCTTGGCACACTTGTGTGTAATGCTAAAATAATAAAAAGCACACAATGCTAAAATAGATACAGTTAAAAACATTTTTAATTCAGACCGATTTATGGCCTTTAAAAAGTCGACTATACGTGTTTTGACATTTAAATGTCACCATCAGGACTTTGCCTGATATTTAGGGAATAAATATTAAATAAAACTCAATGTTAAAATAGATACACTTAAAAACATTTTCAATTCAGTCCAATCTATGAGTAGAGTCAACATTTTGGAGACTATAGATTGGCCATTTAAAATGCTTAGAAATAAATTTTTGTATTTTCAAGTTAATATATGTTTCTAATTTATTTTTTGAAATGTTGGTGTGTGTGTGTGTGTGTGTTTGTGTAAATGATTTCCAAAACAAATATTGAAACAAAATTTTTACAAAGCTGTTATGTTTTTACTTCTTATCCATTGTTCTCTTCCAAAACTACAAGAAAGATAAGAATATAAACACAGATGTATTATATAGAGAATTATCAGTAGTGGAGAAAACTGTTGTGAACACATTAGTAAAGATGCCTTACTTAAGGAAAAAAATAGTCCAAATATGCTGCTATACCTCAATAAACCATTTTTCTATAAACCATCATCTGAGTGACTTAAGATCTTATTCTTAAACTGTTATGGAAGTTTCACACATAAATATCTGCAGGAGGCTTTTTTTATAGTGGTTTTTCTTGAGTTACAAGTGCTATTACATTTTTTATGTTTCAAAGTGTTATTGTGTTACCTTGTGTGGTCTGTATTTAATTGTATGGATTCTGTAATATATAACTACACTGTGACATTGAGGCTTGTGCTTTCACTCAAGGATTTTTATACTATATCACTTATAGTTTTGAAAGTTTTTCCCAACAAAAATGCTGCATAATGTGGTCCACTGTTTATGGTTTTTAGAAATTTCCATTTTGTTGTGCTTTTGGGTTTTCATGTTATCTAATTCTCATTTTGCAGTGGCTAATGTTTAAGATTTTCTGTCCCATTTGATCCTATAATGGGCACATTTATTTGTTCTCCTTTCATGGTGTTGAACCATGATTTTTTTTTTTCTTCGTGGCATAATTTTATTATTGGTTCTTTGATTGTATTACCTTATTTTTTGTACTTATATTTGCTTTCATGGATCTTTCACAGACGCTTATGACCACTGTGTTTTCCTGCTCTCAAAAGCTGAACAACTAACTTAAAATATCTTTTCTGATATTGGACAATATTTTTATATGTGTCTATATATATCCAAAACACCAATAAAATTCACCTGTGGATACAACTAACAAAACAATGGAATTTCAGACTATTCTATTTTTTTTCTCTCGTTTATTAATTTCTTCGAATGGTTTCGTGAATTTAAAGGTCACTCTTCAGGATATAATTGTTCTGAGAATCTATAAGAAAAATATTCAAATACTATTTTTCAACTAAATAAATGGAATAAATACAATTTTAAGCTGAATTAGCTCTCATCAGTTTAGTTAAGTCAATAAGATAGATAGAATGTTATCCAGTTGAGTGAGTTTTGTGTGTCTTCAGGTGTGAGGGACAGCTTGTTATAAATTTTATTTGTACAGTTTATAGATTTTCCTTAAAAAAATGTTTGACTTGCTCTAGATTTCCAGTTAGATTTTATCCTTGCTTTAGTATAAGATGCCATATGGAGTATTTTAGCTGATATTTTCTTTTCTTGCCTTCGATCTACTTGAAATAGTTCATGATTCTTTCTTTGTTTTTAACTTAGTTTATTACTTGAAATACGAGTTCTCATCCACTTTCCACCGGATATAGTATCCTGTGGCTTCTGTTTTTAGAAGGTGATGTGTGTATATATTGTTGTAATGAGGAAGTTCTTTTAAAATGTAGAATAACTTACATAAAATACAAGCTTTTTATACCTAAGTTATGTTTATCTGGCTTATCTAAGTTATCTGGCTTGGTTAGGGTCCTCTTATATAAAGTGAAAAGCTAATACACTGTTGCACTAGGCCATGAGACCTCACTGCTCTTGATGTATAAAGTCTGGCATTGTTTGTGTACACTATTCATCACTCTTCTTAAATGTTTCTCCTCAAATGACTTTTGAGGATAATAGGACTATTTAAGCTCTTAAGCCATGTGGGATGTTTATCATAAGACTAATATGAACTGTACCTAAACATATTATTATCCTCTGTCCCCCTTTTGAACTATGGGACTTCATACACTGTTTGCTTATTTCCTGTCTTTTGTCTATTTCTTTCATCTGAAACAATTTCTTGACTCTTGTGTAGCCTGGTATTCTATATTTCAAATTTCTCTGCTGGAGATGGATCATTGTTCTACTTGTTTCACCCCCCTCCATACCTTTTCAAAAGGGGTTTATATCTATTCAGAAGATCATTAACTTACTCAAGTTTATATGTTAGAATTAAAAGTGAAGTTGAAGTAGCTACATAAATTTTGACACAATCTTATTGCTTCCTCTTGTATTTTTTGTTTAAGAATAGTTGGTATCTAATGCAAAAACTGTTTGGTACTTTTTATTGATGGAGCAGGGTTCTGAACCTTTCATAATTGTTCACAAGTGATAGTTTACAAGATATGTTATAGAATGATGAATAAGGAGTGATAAAAGAAAAAAGTACTAACTCTCAATTCATCCAGAGATGTGTAAGTGATTCTAATTTTAATTCTAAAAATGCAATACATAATTTACCATTATAGTAGTAACCAATGGATTTCTACTGTTTTACTGATTACTATACTGGTTTATTCTTGTTTTTTTTTTTTAATAGGTATGGTGTGTTTGTAACATCAATTTATGTTGAATGCTCTAAGCTGTTACCCCAGCTAATGAAGAGGTGAGTAACAAATTCTCTGAGGCTAAACACTTGAGTGTTCTCTAGCTGTGTTGAAACTTCTTCACTGTAAATGTAATGGTTTAAGATTTTTACTTCCAGGAGTTGTAATTCAGAAACAGGATTCCTTACTTTAGAACTGTAAGTTATCAGTAATAATAACTGTGTATGTGTGTGTCTGTATACACATTTTAACTAACAAAATAGGCCCAAACTATATAAAAACTACATTAAAGACACTGCATAAGTTAAAGGGATCACCAGGGTAGAGGCTATAATGTGCCTTGCGTTTTGGAGGTGACTGGAAGTAGGACTCGCCCTGTGGTGGGGATACACTATCTACCAGTCTTAACCTCTGTTTGCCAGTCTCACATGTTAAAGAAAATGTACAGAAATTAAGAAAAGAAAATAACTTAGAAGAACGAGATGTGGGTGCTCAAGCCCACAACATCCTACATCTATATCACCCATCACTGCAGACAGTTGTGGGAAGGTGACTGCTCTTAGAAGAAAAGAAAGAGAAAGAAAAAAGTCCTACCATTAAGGGTGCTGAGTAAGAATACCTTACCTCCTAAAGTTGGCATTCAATCCCTTATTATGGTAGTAAAGACTCAAATTAATAAGGTAATATTTGTAACACATCAGAAAAGAGTATATTAGAATAAACTCCCTACCAAGTTGTCTGAACTAGTGTGACACCCATCCTCCACTCCAAAGTATACTGTAACTACTAATTTTTAAATACTCTTCTACCTTTTATATGAGCCTATGTATCCATGTGTGTTAATGATGTTAATACATGCATGAAAATAGTGCCAAGGTTTCTTGTTAAAAAAAAATATTTAAACGTTTTTCACACTTTTTACTTCTTAATATTTATGTAATATATTTTTATAGTTACAAAATATTTCAATAAATTTATTTAATATTTGTTTATAAAATCCATTAAGTATTAATTTTTATTACAACATTAGGAGAAAATACAACTTGTTAGAAATTCTACATAATCTGAGTAGTTGTTATGTTATAATACTTATAAAAGTAGAATGTGGAACATTACTGTCAGGAGAGGGGAGGCTGTATGTAGGAGAGGAAGAATTCTTTCTTTTAATTTCCAGATGTAAATAATGTGCTTCTAATACAGAAATTGAAGTATTAACAATTTCTAATTCTATTTGGTAAGTAGTGTTAATAAAATGAATTATTGAGATTAATGACATCAATATATCAATAAGTTAAAGCAAAAACATCAGCATTTCTAGACCTGACTCATACAAATTGATATTTCTGTTGCTGTGTACCACTAAAATAGTTTGCATTTTTCAACATACAGATACGAATTACTGAAATATAAAATCACCCCCCCCTCCTTTAGCAAAGAAAGAGTTATAAAGCACTTCTAAATTACAACTGTATAAAATACTCCAAAAAGTAATCACTTACGATGATGAGTTCTTTGAGAAATTCCAACTGGTAATTAACCTTCCTGTTATCAAGATATGAAACAGAATTAAGCAGCCAGCATGGTTGAAATTTTGTAACAAACTGTTATTTTTATTATCCACATAGCTACAGAAGAGAGCAAATGAATTATAATTCTCATAAGGGATTTTAAAACGTTTTAGTAATGAAACAGTACACTTATGTAAAAAAAAAACACATTAAGAATGATAGACAGTGTATTCCACTGCTGTGTGAGTTCTACTTTCTCAGTCACCTATAAATCTAGGATACATCTTATAACCCACATTATAGCCTGTATCCTGGTGATCTAGGATACATCTTATAACCCACATTATAGCCTGTATCCTGGTGATTTGGTTTTGTTGTACAGCATTTTTGTTTAAGATTTGTATTATAAATATACATGTAACATTTAAAGATGCTCTTTGACTAAATATTATTTACAAAGAAAATCTGAAGGTCAAGTAATCTTTCTAAATTTTAGAATTTACATTTAATGATTAAACCATTGAAAAATAAAACAAAAACAGTAAAAATTCAAGTAATATTAGAAGATGAAAGATGTATATTGAATTTTTTTTTGCATACATTTTCTTGAGATGTTCTAGAATATGAGTAACTATATAATGCAGTTGTTTATTTATGGAGTTTCAGGTACAGAAGCTTTCTAAATGACTTGCATGTGTTTTAATATTTCATTATTGTTGTAATTTTCATGCAGCTTTACACACCAACATTTCACGCATAGTTATGCCTGTACGCAACAGTGAATGGTATAATTTTGTAAAGTTTACATCACCAAGTTACTGATTAGTGTTGTCCAGATATATAATTAAAATTATATACCCTAAAAAAACATCATTACATGTGCTTGTTTTTTTTTTAAATATTAGACCATATAAGTATTATTTTTATTGTTTTTTTTAGTTTTCAAGCAAAAGGTGGTAAAATTGTTCAAAGAAAGATCAATAAGTTAAGTGAGGTAAGGAACATGCTTTTCTAGTTTTATTATTTGTGTTTAAAGGTTTTTATTATTTACACACATTTTGTTTTGGCTGCATTCCCCCCCCCATACAAAATTCTGGCTCTTAATTTCTGTTTGTATCCCATATATGTTGTAACAGGTCCATCTGCTCATTATTTTCTTAAAAGTTGGCTGCCTTTGAAATTAGCACTGCCTCCGTTAACAAATTTTGTAAAGAGGTGTAATAGTAAAAGCCCTATTCTGTATTGGAAAGTTGTTAGTCAAGTCCAAACTTATTATTATTATTACTTGCCCCAACCTCTCTGTATCATAGTTTAAAAACTGAAAATCATTGTGTTTAAATATAAAATTTCAATAAGTTCTAATGAATTATCAGTTATTGTAAAAAGAGAAAAGTGAAATAATATGGTCTAACACACTTTGCAGCCAAAGGTCAAATTTACTCTTGGACTATTTGTTCATTTTGTGTTGAATTAAATAATTCAATAAGAGAAAGAAAAAAAGAGAAGAGAGTAAGTTTTAATCGTGCATTAATGTTGTAATTAGGTTTTAAATAATTTTATTGAAAAATCTGCACGTATATATGTACCATCAAGAATTTGTGGTAGTGTTACTTTAGTTATGCCTAGCAACGGCTTGGGTCAGGAAACCAAAGAAATACCATTAGGCCTCTTATAATGGAGAAGTGTATATAATATGGGGCTTTGAGTCCATTTTACTTCACCATATAGTAACTTAATTTAATTTAGGTATGTGAATAATGTTATGACATTTTGTCAAATTCATTATTCGATATTATACAGCAGACCAACTGTTTAATGATTTTATATAGCATTACGCCTCTACTTCACAGATACTATTTTCAGTTTCACCTCTGGTAAAAAAAGAAAATAAATCTCTAACAGGTATATATATACACACACACACACACACCTCTGCCAATAGGAGAGTGACACACCTTCCTATTACAGCTGACTCCCTCTATGCAGTTGAATCCAATCTTCACTTCTTGATTTGGCATGATAGTGTTAAGGCCTAGTGCTTGATTTCAGACTTTTGTTTTCTTTAGTGCATTTTGAAAATATTCAGTTACTGAGTTTTGCATTTCAAAGTATTGTTTATAATCTACAGTCAAGTGGGATTTCTTTATTTGATTGCGAATTCTATTTCTCACTCAGTTACTGGTAGTCAGTCAATATTTTTGAACTTACAATTTACTATTATGACTACAATGGCTGCCGACAGTAACCATGTCTACACATCAGTCCATTGTTCACTTACAGTACACTCTGTATGAAGGCAGTGTTACTGGTGGCTACTCTGTGGATTTGGATCTTGTGAGAGCCAAGCTTGCTCGTTTCACAGAATTGTGGGAGTCTTTTACCACCGACCTTTGGGTCATTTGAGTTTTGTCAGAAGAACTCTCCCTCTTTTTCCTCACACCCCTGACTTTTTCTTTTGTCCCAGTTCCTTTCCTTATAATCCCATTTCCCACCAGTGCCTCACAGAAGTAGTTTAAGTCCTTCTCATCAAGGGTGCCATTAGACAGGTTTCTCCTGTGCTTCCAGGGTTCTTTTCCCAACTTTTGTCATCCCCATGAAGACTGAGGATTGGTATCCTGTGTTTGATCTCTTCCATTTGAATTGTTTCCTCAATGTGCCTCGGTTCACAGTGAAATCCTAACTGCTTCGCAGATGGACCTTTCTTCCAGGGCTTAGAATGAAGAGTTTTGATGTGTCTGATGTTTATCTTCACATCCTTATTGCTAGGGCTTCATGTCATTTTCTACATTTCATCCACGAGGATAATTTTTATCAATTCCATCATCTTATGAAGGACTGGCTTCATTCTTTGCAGAGTCTTCCTCACACACCCAACTTCTCCTCAGAGAAGCTGATCGGTTGGGTTGTTTTATTGATATCTTGTTGATCTGGGGGTACTTTTGAACTCCCATCTCAGTCGAGCCCAGCCTGCTCCTCTTTGTCTATGATCCATGGAGTTTTTAGTTCAGAAGGCATTATCATCACCTTCTCTCCCCGCATGAGAGGTTCTGCTTCTTTTGGGGACTTGGGCATCACTGGAGGCACTTATCCCTCTGGGCCATGCCTGTGTGCATTCTTTGTAGTGGTTACTACAAGTTCAGTGGCACATCATCAGTGACCTACTGGATTTACAAATATCCTTTCCTGATTCTCTTCAGTCTAACTTCCTCTGGTAGTTCAGCAAGGAGTAACAAAAGGTTGATGTGAAGACCTAACTCCTCTCGAGACCAATGGCCCGAGATCTCTTGTGTAATGCAGCACACACCCCATCCTGACAAAAAGGCATCTGTAAAGACATGGCCATCCTGATGGGTAGAAGGAAAAGGTACCCCCCAATGCCATGTTGTCCCTGTTTTTTATCAGGCGATGGTTCATTTTCTGTCATCTAAAAGGGGCAAGACAATTATGATTTATTTCATTAACTCGATGGTTGTCTCTTACATCACCAGATGGGGTTTTCCACAAGGCCACTTGCATGTTCATCCTCGTGGTATATTGCATCATAAATATGTTTGTACTGGATCTTACACTCATGGGTAAAGTAGAAAGAGAGTGCTGTCCATCTTTAATGTTCCTTAGATTGCTGGGAATCAGGAATGGTCTCCTTTTCAAAATAGATTTCATGGTCACCCATTGCACTTTCTCTGGTGAATTTTTTCTCTGGGCTCTCCAATGCATTTCTTCCCCTTCTTTTTTACAAGTGGAGTATGGGAGTCCTTACCACTTCCCAACTGGAGTAATCTGTCATGGAGGAATTCTCCTGAGTGTGCACAGTTCCACTCAGTCAAGATTAGGGTGGTGATGTTCTGCTTGTGTAGAAGGTGTGACTATCCTCCTGCCATGGGTCTGATGTTTTAATCGAGATGCCACTGGTCTGGACTGGATTTTTCCATCTCATTTGTAGTTTGCCCCTCTGACTTGGAACACTTCCTCTTACCACCTCATGGATGTCAGTTCCTGGATGACTGGTTTTGGTTGGAGCTGGACCAGCCAACATAATTTCTCACATGTGAGTGGGCTGGGAACCTCCTTCTAGTGTGGACTGGATGATATATCCCCAATGCCAATTGTTTTTGAACTGGAATTGTCCCTCCATGTTGCATTTTCACCTTCTTGGCATTGTTAAGATCTACGTTCCCAGGGTTTGTTGTTCCAAGTTGTTTTGGATTTCCACACATGTTGGTTTAGGTTCTCAGAATGGAGGCTCCTTTTCCCTTCTGGTTCCTACACATAAGTTCAATGGTTGAGCACCCTCCTCCTGCTAGGGGCCAGTTAAATTCCTCCCGGTTTCTACTGATCTGGACTGGAGTTGACCTCCCAATTATGGTCTGATGCACCCCTATCCATTCTACACATTTCTCTTCCTTTTGGATGGATCACTTGTTCTGCCCTTTCATTACAACACAACACCAGTTGGCTCCACTTGGGCAAAGAGTATACCCGGTTCAGAAGTGATGCAGTCTCCTTGGGTGTGTTTCCTTTACATAGAGGTGGCACACTTCAGGTGTTTTTGAAGGGCACTTCTCTAGTAATTTTACACTGGTTTGTCCACCTGCTCAATGTGGGATTCTAGCTGTAACTGTGAGAGGAGGTAAGTAATCATATCAGTAGTTAATATTTTCCTACACTGAAAATATATTTCTGATAGATGTTTACCTCTTTTTACACTTCTTACCCATCCTCCCCACTTCTGGTGTTGTTTTTCCATGCCTAATCTCAAGGTAAATATTTGGTTCAACTGCATAGAGAGAGTCAGCTGCAATAGGATTTTCTGTCACACTCTATTGGGAGAGAGTTGTCGCATGCTAATTTGTGTACTTAAACACAGTTGAACTACATGGTATACATGTGGAATTGGGTAGGAGTTCAAGGCTAGTGGCAGGCAAAAATCTGTGTACTAGAGAGCAGTCAAATCAAGAATAGCTATAACCATGAGTGGAGGTATCTATTGGAAATGTATTTTCATTGTAGGAAAATTTTAACATTAACACATCTGTATGAAGTAAGATTTTTATAGTTTGTGCAAGAAGTGAAGTGTAACATGCATGCATGTCATATAAGAGAGCTATGTAATGAGGAGGGTGATGCCAAATCCATGTACCACCATGATATTTCTCTAACCCTTGCATGATTTTTTAAGTCACATTTGTGTTTTCATTGACTTTTTTTTCTTTGTTACAAGAAATGAATAGGATGTCACTGACTGCAGGAATGTGGGAAAGTGATCCTGTTGTGAGACATTTAAGTGTTATGGTGGTTCACAACTTTTTCACTACCCTGTACGGCAGATAAGGAGACTCAAAATAAATATGGGCTTTATATTTATTTCAGTTTTTTAAACACTTGTCTGCTAAATAATTCAGAAGAATAAATAGGTACCATCAGTATTGCATATTATTGAAATCCTATGTAAATATAGTGTCACCGTAGTTAGTAAAAGACAACTCAAATTATGGATAAGAAGACTGATATAAGAGGGCTTTATCGTGTATTGTAGGTATGAGGGTTATGTCGTGTGAGGTTTAAAATGTAGCATGTGTGAGTCGCAGAAGGCTATGCCATGTAGATCAGGGAGGAGGAATATAATGTATAAGGTGTGTATTTCAGGTGAAATAGATTATGAGATATTTATGGCCCTAAGAGCTAATGTGAAAGGCAAGACAATTAACTATTCATGCACATGAGGTATGAAGCAGAGTTATATGTGTGACTTAAGCATATAAATGTGTTATGTAATTGGACTATGTCATATTTTTTGGTGAAGAGACTGGTATATTCTTCAAGCAAGGTTAATTGGACATACTAAGAAAAGTATGATGGATGTGAGGAATAAGGACAGACAGTGATATAGGTACTAGGTGTGTGGAATATGATGTGAGATTAGAGAACTCCCTTATATGAGGAATAAGGACAGACAGTGATATAGGTACTAGGTATGGGGACTATGATGTGAGATTAGAGAACTCTCTTATATGATGAATAAGGACAGACAGTGATATAGGTACTAGGTATGGCAACTATGATGGGAGATTAGAGAACTCCCGTATATGATGAATAATGACAGATAGTGATATAGGTACTAGGTATGTGGAATATGATGTGAGATTAGAGAAATCTCATATGATGAATAAGGACAGACAGTGATATAGGTACTAGGTGTGTGGAATGTGATGTGAGATTAGAGAACTCCCTTATATGAGGAATAAGGACAGACAGTGATATAGGTACTAGGTATGGGGACTATGATGTGAGATTAGAGAACTCCCTTATATGATGAATAAGGACAGACAGTGATATAGGTACTAGGTATGGGGACTGTGATGTGAAATGAGAGAACTCACGTATATGATGAATAAGGACAGACAGCGATATAGATACTAAGTATGGGGACTATGATGTGAGATTAGAGAACTCCCGTATATGAGGAATAATGACAGACAGTGATATAGGTACTAGGAATGTGGAATATGATGTGAGATTAGAGAACTCTCTTATATGAGGAATAAGGACAGACAGTGATATAGGTACTAGGTATAGGGACTATGATGTGAGATAAGAGAACTCCCATATATGAGGAATAACGACAGACAGTGATATAGGTACCAGGTATGGGGACTGTGATGTGAGATTAGAGAACTCCTGTATATGAGGAATAACGACAGACAGTGATATAGGTACTAGGTATGGGGACTGTGATGTGAGATTAGAGAACTCCTGTATATGAGGAATAACGACAGACAGTGATATAGGTACTAGGTATGGGGACTATGATGTGAGATTAGAGAACTCTTGTATATGAGGAATAACGACAGACAGTACTAGGTATGGGGACTGTGATGTGAGATTAGAGAACTCTTGTATATGAGGAATAACGACAGACAGTACTAGGTAAGGGGACTGATGTGAAGTTAGTTAACTCCTATTTTTGAGGAATGAAGACAGACAATGGTATGGGTGCCAGGTAAGGGGACTGACATATATGATGTGAAAGGACTTCCACATTTGAGGTAAGAATTCTGTGATCAGTATGCTAGGTGTAAAGACTATGATACACGCAAGTATATAGCAATATGAAGTATGAGAACACTGCATATTTCTGAGGTAAAAACAGTATAGCATATTTGTTAGCTATGTAAATATTTTGGCAAGTAAATGTACTGTAATTTGTATGTGATGAAATATAAATTTACTGTTAAATGGGTCTAGCTTGCTGGAGAATATGACATTGTAATCAACTGCACTGGTGTGGAGGCTGCACGTGTTGTTCCAGATCCTGATATTCGGCCAATCCGGGGCCAGGTGTTCAGAGTACTGTATCTTTTTTTTTTTCTTCAACTTGTAAGCATTTTTTCTTTAAGAATTGAAGGAAGCATTCTTCACTTTAAGATAATGAACAGAAGCTTTGTTGAAAAAGAATTAAAAATACACACGTATTAAAAAAACAAATTATAATTATTTTCCCTCTAATCTGTTGACAGATTGTCAATAAGGGATTTGTTGTTTGTAATATTAAAAGCTGAGAAATCACATTTTCTTTAAATTCTATAATTTGAAGTCTTAAGTGTCAAATTCATGTTTTAAAAGTAAAAAATAAAATTCACATGTGAAAACAATACTCTTTATTTTTTTGCATCTGTGAATTGGGGTAATATCAGCATTCTGTAAGAATTTCTAAATGTTCAGTTGCTTATAACCTTATTAAACATTAAAGTCACAAACGTATATATCTTTATCAATAAATTTGAATTATCATAATAAACTTCTGTCATTCCAATTTATTATTCTTCGATGTTATATCCACTTTCTCTTTCAAGAGCTCTTTGAAAATAAGATAATTTCTCTATGCAAAATGAGATGAACCTGCTCTCATCTTCTTAAATTGTTTTTATGTTCAACATCTTTATGATATGTTGCATGTGTGCTTTTGTTTTCGTAATGTATTTAGGGCTATTTTAAATATTTTTTTCTTTAAATTTGACAATGTCTTTGTCTTTTACAGTCAATCTTTATGAGAATGTTTGCTCATTTATTTCTGGTATCATTCTTTATTCTCTTTTTTTATGATATACAAGCTTATTCTCAAATTTCCTTGATGAGTGATTAGTTTCTTATAGGTTAAAAATTCTCATCCATTACTTTACATCCTGTTTGGGAGCCTTTAATTTGTATGATGCACTTTATCCTTTCTTGTGGATATACTTCTCCATTGAGAGTGGTTTGCACTACAGTGATGTTTTTTATTTGTTTGTTTGCTTGTTTAGTTTGGTAACTGATCATTGTCTGGCTCAGAACTTTACACATGATAACATCAGGAAATTAACAGCCAAAACGTGTTTTGGGTACTATATGTGTAGGATTGGAAATATATTTGAATTTCATTTAAATTGACATGTATACTTATTACTCATCTAAAAATTATTGTTCCCTTTATACTGTTTAAATGAGGTTTTTTAAAACTTCTAGGTAAAAGCTCCATGGGTCAAGCATATTTTTCTTGGAGGGGAAGACTTCTACATTTTACCAAAGTAAGTGTGTTTATAAAAAATAATATACTGTTATTAGTCATATCTTAATCCATTTAAGTTGTGTCTCTGTGTGTTTTATTGTTTAATTCCAGTAGTAAATATCTGTCCTAGCATTGTGAATCACAGTATAGATATAATTAATTTAACTTATTCTTGAGTGTAGTTTTGTTGTTATTTGTAGGTGACATACAGTGTGATCAGTTGAGACCAAAGTTTGTATATGTGATGTAATTTTAATTATCGTTGTAATAAAGTAAAATAATCACAAATACAAATTTAAAAAAGTATTTGAATTTATAACCATTGGGATGTTTCCCCAAGACTTGACTGTACATTTTATCAAATTGTTTGTGACGACTTTCTAGTCATTTAAGAAGGTTTCCAACACTGATTCTAAGAAATATATGAATGCCTTTTTTTGTATTGGTAAAATATGATCTTTTCCTTGAATTTCATTTAACTGAGTCTAAATTGATAACTATGTTTTGCATAATTTTCTTTAAACTGTTTATTTATGTACAGTTAAGAATTCTCAGTGGATGACTTAGATCAACTAATCTTTGCACCTCACTCAAGAAGTTTGAATTTATTTAATTCAAGTTTTCATATGATTTGTGTCTAGATTTTATTGGTTTATATTTACTCATGCCACTCTAAAACATGTATTTCAGTGCATTTGTCAAAATGTAGTATCATTCATCAAGTATATGCACCATTAAATAAATATCTTTAGAGTATTCGTTTGACGTACATTGAACATTAGGAAAGTAACAAAACATAACATATGAACAAGAAATTACTTTTGTTGTAATGGGCTAAAACTGTATATCCAGTATTAGGATGTTGCATGTATAAAAAGGTATTAAAAAATACTGATATTAGTGTATGAAGGAATTGAAAATTAGTGCTACTCTGCATGATATTAATGCTGAATGTCATGTTCCACTTGTTCAGGTGTTCTACATCCTAAAAAGAAGTTTATAATTTCGGATTATTGTAGATTTTATTTTAGTACCTTTAACAAGGATTTAAATAACTATTATTGTTTAATTCAGTAGTTTTTAAACTTTAGTAACCCAAGGACTCCTTTTAATTTAAAATATTTTTGCAGACCCCCAAGCCTATTGATGTTTTTTGTTTTGAAAAAAAAAGTCCATGCTACACGTTAAGCTGTTTTCCAAAGTTTGGTGTTTTGATTAATATAAATTTAATGTTAAAAAATATTTTTTATTCCATAGATAATTTTTTAAATTATTTATATGAAATTTCAGACATGACTCACAGAAATGCGCGTCTAAACTATATTTTTTCTACCATAGCAAATCACATACAATGCAATCATATCTGAGTATGTTACAATTCAAATTTATCTAAAGCAATAATTGTAATTAATGAAAGTAAATGAGTTTCAACACTAGAATATGTTGCAAAGCTCTTGATTTATTGTCATTAAAATGTCTTTATTACGTGTGACTCATCAGTCAGTAAAACACACCAACATTTTAGATCAAGGTGTCAACAATTTCGAAACATAAACAGACCTGGAAAGTCTTGTGTAAAATATGCTAAGGTTTGACAATAGTTTGAAAATTACTAAAAACACATCTAAAATATTTTATTTTTATTGCAAAATTTTGTTTTTGTGAATAAGAGAAGATGAATTGTAAAAATATTTAATGCACAACTGTTATAGCTATATACCTGTGTATAAACTAGTGGAACTAATATTTAGTACAGACACAGTTGTTCTTGGAGGTACCCGTCAGGCTGGGGACTGGAACAAAGATATTTACCTAGAGGACAGTAAGAAAATTTGGAAAGGCTGTTGTGAACTGATACCTAGCCTACAGGTATAGTGAATTTTAGTTTTTTTTAAGACATTTTAAAACTATTTTTTGTTTAATATGATGGATATCTTCTGGTACAATGATTTAGAATTAAGTTAAATTTTCATGTACACAGTTTAGGATTAAAAAATCTCATATACAAAATGTAGTACAAAACCTTTACAAGCTGAAAATATGATACATGCTGTTACATAGGTTTCTTTCAAACGAGACTCAAGGTCAAGATGGCACTTAGAAACCAGTGCCAAACTCCAGTTTTGATAGGCACAAGCAGATAATAATGGGGACACAACTTCCCTGGATGGGAATGATATATTGCAGGTTAACCTTCCAGCTAACAGAAACAAATGGGGTAAAATGTCTTGCTCAAGGTAGCAGGTTACAAGCAATCCTCGAACTCACAGTCTTCTGATTACAACTGAGAAGCCACTGAGCCACACTGCCCCCATTACTCATTATGACCATGGTAGATGCATAACTTACTGCCAACAGTTGATAAGGCAGCCACTTGAAAGATGTTTCTCCAGTGCTAGACTCTACGATCACCCAAAAGTTATTCAGTGTTACCATGTTCTGGGAGTGGATAACTTGCATGCCTATTGTCTTCTTTGGATATCGTAGCTATTTCTTAGGCTTCATCTTCAGATTTGAACCCTGATGCCTTCAAAAGACTACTTTATTAAAACTACTGAATTTTATTTGACAAAAATAAACATTACTCAGTGACATTGGTTATAAATATGTTATTAAACATAACAGTGACTTGTGAAATTACAGTTAGGTAGAGGTTAAAATAAGTTATATACTCTTAGTTCTGGGGATTGAGTTTATGATTTTGTATAAACACAACTACATCTAGGAGATCAACCACATGAATTCTTTAGGTGCATCATCAGTGTACAAAGGAACACTTGTTAGATGTAGAGGAGAATAAGATTGTCATTGGTAGAAAATGTCATTTTGTACACAACAATATTTTAGAGCAAGTTATTAAATGAGCCAAAAATTTATTTTGAATCTGAAAAATGACAATTCATACATCACTATCCTTATTAAATATTTGTCATTGCTCTTCATGAAGGCTATATTGCAGTCATAGCCTGTTTGGGCATAATTGATCATAAAGTATGTTTTTATAATGTTCCATAAGATATAAAATTATGAGGTAGAAGTTTTATATGTGTGTTGTGTTTCATTACCCTAATTAAAATGACTGATACTTACAAATTTTTATTTATTGATTTTTTGTTGTTGTTTATCAAAAATAAATAAGTAAATTTATGCTTGTAATTTAGTATATTTCAACTGTTGTAGGTTTCATTACATTGCCATCGAACATGCTTGCCTTTTCAGCCATGGGGTTTTTATTTTTAGTTCTTTGCTTTTGAGTTATTTCAATCATACTAAAGGCTATCTGCTTCTGTTCCTAATTTTGAACTGCCAGTTATAGGGAATTATAGATGCTATTATTATCTAGTTTTTTGATAGTGTAAAATCATTTGTTATTGCTACGATAATGATATAGAATTTCAAATAGATGTCATGCATTGTTTTCTAGCTTACTGGTACTCTAAATTCATTTCTTATTGTTAACTTGATATTGAAGTTGAACAGATATTGTTCTTTTCTAGTATACTGTTGTTATAAATTCATTTATTATTGTTAAGTTAATCATATAAAATTTGGAATAGATGTCATTCTTTTCTAGCTTACTGATTTTGTAAATTTCATTTCCTTGAACGATAACAAATTAACTTATTGGAATTTTGTTTTTGTTTTTAGCATTTGAATTGAGTTTCAACTTTGCTTAAAAATAATATTGTTTCTTTTAAATTAAACTGGACTGATTAATATTATGGTAGCATGCTGAAATTGTTAAAGAATGGGTTGGCTTACGTCCAGGATGTTCCAAAGGTCCCAAACTAAGCAGAGAAGTTGTTGTTGGAAGTAATGGGAAGAAAATACAGGTAATAAAAAGTACTTAACATTTTTCCATGGTAAATTTTTCATCATTAAGTATGATTGTTAGATTTTCTATGGCATTGAGATTGAAATTTTTGTTTTAGCCATAATGTTTTAAGCCTAATCAGGATTTGGAAGTAATGAAATAAAGAGCTCAACATGAGATGTAATTTACTCTACACGGCGTCTAAAAAATCTGGAATCATAGGTGATTTGAAGCTTGTCTTACTTTTTCTTAATTAATGACACCTTCTCAGGACATTTGATTGGCAGACGTAGTCCCCAGAAATGGGCCCCTAGATCTCGGGATTAGATTCCCATGGATATGTTTTTGTGGGGACTGCTCAAGGCACATGCATACAAAGAGAAGATCAGGGACAACAAACATCTAAAACAATGAATTTGCAATGAATAATGGACCATTGACACTAACATGAATATACTTTGCAGTTTTCAAAGAGAATGGAACTGCCATTTTCAAACTTGTTTCGAATTAAAAAGATAGCACGTCTAACAAATTCTGTAAAATTTGTTGAAGTGCCTAAGTTGACGTGCCCTGTAATTATGTAACATCATTCCAAGTTATTACATTACTTAATAAATAATATTCTAAGTGTCATAATATTTTGTATTATAAATATAATTTTTATTGAACTTTAGAATTACTTGTTCTAAAAGAAGTCCTTCTTTCATAATTTTAAAAGTACGACTAATGTGTTAATATTAACTCATCATTAAGGACTAGGATTGCACTAACATGTGCGTATTTGTCATTTGAAAGCCTTGTTAGCACTTTATTTTCAAACTGTGCAATAAATTCAGTTCTATCAGGATATCTAATTATAAAAACTTAACTTTATTAGAAAGACTCATTCAATCTTGGTATTTTATAATACATAAGAAAACTTCAGTTTATAGATGTTAGTAGGATGATCCCATAATATTCTGCTTAAATGGTATTATTCGAGAAATATCATTAATATTTAGTCATTGAGAAATTGCGGATTAAACTTTTATTAACTCCTGTTTTCTTTTATATATATAAACTCCAGAGCTTATTGCTAAAACTCAGGGTCACATCCTTGCATACACCTCAGACTCACAACACAAAAAATTTGGTGTTTGATTTCCCCATGGTGGACAGAGTGAAGATGGTTAGGTTCTTATTAGTGTTACACCCAGATATCGAAATACTTAAAAAATTGTCATGGATGTTCTGTCTCAGTATCTCTTCATTTGTACTTAGGAACTTGATTCTGATGTAGGTAGGACATTAACATGTTAAGAATATTCTTGTGCAAACATATCTACATCTTGATATTATTTTTTAATTTCTTTTTAAAGGTTATTCACCACTATGGCCATGGAGGATCTGGGATTACAGTTTTTTGGGGAACAGCTGGAGATGTTATGAAACTGCTTCAAAAATCTGTTAGTGAGCTTGAGCCTAATATATTTCGAGCTCGGCTTTAAGTTTTGTCATAAGTGCAATATAGACAAAAGAAATATTAAAAATATATGTAGCTTTAATATTCATAACAATTTATAACGTTATTTTGTTTAAGATAAAGCTGTTTTTAAGTAATATTTTAGGCATATTATTTTTTTTAGCTTTAAAGTTTGTACTTTGTACCTGATAATTGTTGGTTTCAAATTATTTTAGGATCTCTAAGAAACGTAGTTACACTGGACGAAATAAACACTTTTTATACAAATACTGTAAAACATAGGTATTGTAACTTCACATACTTCCTTTTAAAATGTAGAATACTCAAACTGAATCAAAATACACTTTTATGAAAACTGTTGTAAGAATATAGAACTTGTGTTTTTATACACAAGAGATTGAAAATATACCATTACATGTATACTGATAAAAAAGAAATTGCAGTTTTTTTTGCAAATTCGGGTAAAAATGACAAAAATGTGTTTTTGTGCAAATATTCATAAAATCGAGAAAATGTAAATGCATCTAAAAATGTACTTTTGTATAAATACTTAAAAAGATATAAAACGTGGCTTTACGCAATTTTACAAAAAAAAAGTAGTACAGTATACTTTTGTACAAAAGTCCAAAAATTATTTAAAAGATGCAAGTTTCAAATATTGTACCAGTACAAAGAAGCATTCAAGGTCCACATTTTTTAGAAAACGCATAGTGTCAAAAAAGTCAGTTGCTGTATGCAGAAAGCCTATACATGTTTACAGTATATCTTCAAAATTTATACAGTACTGCTCCACACGTTTATCAACACAATCTCCAAAAACATAAAGAAACTGCAAATAACTTTTGGGACACCTTATAATACACTTGTATCATGAAAATGCTGAAAGATAAATACCATCTAAGTAAGATTTAGTAAATCTACTTGAAATTGCCACTTTTTTTGTTCTCTACATTTAATATATTAATTCTGTTAATAAATTGTAAATCTTATGCATGTACAGAACAAAATAAGTGATTTACCAGTGATATACATCTCACTGTTTTATGAATCTCATTGATATGGATTGCTATTTCTACTACTGGTTATTTCAAAATTTGTCACATTATGTTACTTGTATAAAGTGCATTGTTATAAAATTGTTACCTGTTAAAAAAACAAGTCTTAAGTGATCGGCCAACGAATAATGGATAATATTGTTTTTTTTTGTTGATTATTTTGTATGTTACTGTCTTTATAAAATGTATTAATAGCTGGATGCTATATATTTGTGCAGAAGCTATTTTGTTGAGTTTTTAGGTTGATTGTTGAAATACAAGATGCAGCTTTATAATTACGTTAATATTTTTGAATATTTAGCAATTTTTATTTGGTATTTTTTGTGATCAATAATTATTACAAAAAATGCAGGTTAATAAAAAAGAATGAGCTAATGAGTTTGCAGTAGAATGAGGGAGAATTTTTGTGTTCAGACTGTAGTTGATGTGTAATAACCAAGGTAAAGATGTGTTTCATTCACTTCTGAATTTCGCTACGTTGAAGCAAGTATATGGAAAGTATCTTAACTTTCTTTGAAAATGTAAGGATAGTTTGCAACTGTGTTGGAAGTAATTTAGTGTTTTAACTTCAAAACAAGGGTTTTTGAAGTTTAACAAAGTTAACAAAGTTTGAAGTTTTGAAGGGTTTTGTTTAACAAGGGTTTACCTTAGGCTATGTAAGGACAAATGAAGATAAATGGTTGTTTTAGTTGTGACATATTTAGCATTTACTGAAGTGCATTATATAAAGTTTTAAAAGTTACTTTAACGTTATATACTAATGTTATATTACATGTACGTGTAATATTTTCAGACAAATATTAAATATTTTTGCATGACCTGTTTCATTGGTTGTTATGTTTTGTTTTATTTAGCTCACATGGGAATGGGAAGATGTGATAAAGAAAAAAAAAGTAATTTATATAAAATGTAAAGCAAATTTCTAGGTAAACCCGAGTCAATCTGACAGAACAGCTTCTGCTCTGAACCATGCATTTCTTTATGTTACACAACTAGGCTATTCAGCGTTGAATAAATACATGTAATTAATTTCAAGTGATATGAGTAGTAAACACTTGTAAATATTTGCTCTTTGCCAACAACGTTTAAATCATTAGAACCTAAACACACACACTAAATTTTGTCTAATTAAGCTACCAAATGAGAGGGCCTGGCATGGCCAGGTGGTTAGAGTGCTCGACTCGCAATCTGTGGGTCGCGGGTTCGAATCCCGTCACACCAAATATGCTCGCCCTTTCAACCGGGGGCGTTATAATGTGACGGTCAATCCAACTATTCGTTGGGAAAAGAGTAGCCCAAGAATTGGCGGTGGGTGGTGATGACTAGCTGCCTTCCCTCTAGTCTTACACTGCTAAATATTGGACGGCGCAGATAGCCCTTGTGTAGCGCGAAATTCAAAACAAACAAACCAAATAAAGTTGGAAGTTTGAAAACTATCCAGAAAATTGTTGGTACAATGTCAAATATCAAATAACCTTGTGTAGATTTTTTTATTGGCATTTCTCCATCACAATTTTGTATGCTGGAGTTCTTCATTAACCAGTAAGTTTTCCAATAAACACTAATCTCCACAGGAACAAGCTGATTGAAGTAATCAAACAGTTTATGAAAATTTTCAATGCCTCCCGCAAATAAAGCTTCCCCTCCAATAAAAACGCATGAAACCATTCTTAGGAGATTTTTCATAGTAATTCAAATGAACAAGATTTTTTTCTGATACTTAAGTGCGTCCATTTAAAATCTTAATTTTCATTTTAAAAGAGAAATATCTGCTTAATTGTGTTATTGATATATCTTCATATAAAATGGAAAGTAAGGTTGAAATAACACCCTTCTTCCTAATATGAAATAATTTGGCAACAAAAATGGCTTATCAATTAAAATAAAGAGTGGTGCTTTTAGCCCTTATCACATTTTTTGACTGTTTTTATGATGGATAAAACCTCGTGACCAGAGACGTGCTGCAACCCCCTCCCAATATTAATTTGTCAGCACAAATCCAGTTTTCTGTCGCCAAAATGTTTATCCGTCTTTTTTTTGGGGGGGGGGGACTCACGATAAATAATTCTTGTTGCGACGAATTTTTAGTCAAACAGCTTGAACGCCGAGAAAAAATTCGGTAAATGTACGGCAACAAGTAATAAACTTCCTAATTTGATCATGCGAGGCACAACTAGTCTGCCCACAACTATTCTGATAGTTTTATCTTCATCTGCACTTTTTCTGTTTAAGAATATCCGGATATACCGAATATCTTTTTGTAATCAAAACGCGCTATTCTGTCGGCATCCCCCCCCCCCTTCTCTAATATGGGGATTTCGCTTCATCCCTGACCGAGGAAGGATGGTACATAAACCAAGGGCCACGACTTGTATGATTATTTGATTATTCTATTGTATAATTTGTTTTAATTTATTAGTTTCTATTAATTTTTTTTTGTTCATGAAATACAAGTCTCTTCTTATTTGGTCAAAACTTAACATTTTTGAATTTTCAGTATATTTAATAGTAGTATTTAATATTGTGAAAATACGTATTATATACTATTAATTATGACACTGAAAATCAAATTGATGAACGATGTCTGTGCAATGTTTTTCTTATTTGATTACTGTATAAAGGGTTATATTATTTGATTATTCGAATCCCCATCCCACCAAATATGCTCGCCCTTTCAACCGTGGGGGCGTTATAATGTGAC